GTTTCGCAGACCTGGCCGACCTGAAACACAACGAGGCGTCGTTCAACAGCCAAATCCACCTCCGTGCAAACAGCTTATAATCATACCGGGAGAAACAAGAACAACGGCCGAGAATAGGGCGACTTCAGCTTCGCTGAGCTGCATCTGGTTGAAACGGTTCATGAAGTCGAACAGGGAATCGATCAGGAAGCGACCTTGACAGCCACCGGTCATCGTCTTGCCGGTCAGCGGCCGCTGAACTCTGTCCCTGCTGTACGCCGTTCCGTTCAGCAGCAGCAGCGTCTTGGTGTTCGTGTCGAACAGGGGGGCAGACCGCAGAAGCAGGATTTCGAATGCCGTCGCCTATAAACACGTGTTCGTTCACCACACGGTGACGGGCCGTTCGAGCATATCTCACTGCGTTACACATGAAAGCACGAACTTCGTCAGGGCGAAGGCTGGAAAATGAACGTAACTGTACAAACGTGTGTGTATTCGTCAATCACGGTCCACTGTCAGATGCACTGGCATGTGCAATAGTAAAAGTGAATTTATCACTGTTCAGAGGTGAACTGTCTAGCAACGATCACAACTGAACCACGGCGGACAGATCAAAGAGCTGAAATCAGTGTCACTGAAGGGGCGGTGTCCCCCGCCGGATCTCTAAGATGTTTAAAGTTGTTCGAAACAGACTGACAGATTTGAGTGTCAGTGGATTCGAAATGTATTAAAGAGGCTTATGGCAAAGACGAGTAAACACACGCCGTAGTTTTTACACGCTACACCAGCAGCGGAAGTGAATTGCATTAAAATTCTCATGATGTTGAGTAGAAACCATTACTAAAGGTACACCATTCCCATAAGAAATTAGATAATCCAACCGAATTATTGATTCGATGCTTAGACAAGAAACGTGAAAGAATGAAACGCTTACGGATGAATACCCAGCAAAATCTGCATTCAGTTTCTCTACGACCAAGGTAGCGGTCCTTATGAAATAATATTCGAAATGATCAACTTTATTATAATCAGTCAACAGTTGTATGATTTTTTTACGTTGGAACATAGACACTGAAATGCCGGAAGGAAGTTAGAGAGTAGGCAATGCGGACATATAGTATGCATCAGCAGAGCTTTGCAGAAGCACAACCTGTATAGTCAGCAACCAATTCATACAGTGGAGTGCCAGTACAGTACTTGAAAAAAAAACTACCTCTCAGAGGAGGAAAACTGTGGTAAGCATTAATGTTGAACGAACAGACGGTCAAACGAGCAGACAAGAAGAAATTTCAGTGATTGCTTGGACGTGGGTACATTTGTTATGTTATAATTACTCATTGCCTCAATCGATTTTTATCTTTGTTATCGTCGATTACTTCTGCCTTTTCTGCATCTGATCTTGGGAGGAGGATTGGGCCACCGGTAATCACGTCAGGTGTTTCCGACAGGACATCCGTTAGCAATCGTTATTTCCAGCAAACGAGTTCTGCTGACAGTTCTGTGAGGAATTAGCCTATATAACAAATGGTTTGATTCTTTGTTTCATAAATTACCTACTTCCTAATTTTTCTAATGTCTTTTTTAACCACCTTCCAGTTTCTGTACATCGGACTGATTCCACTGACATTACTGCTCTGATACCACGTAATGCTGGTCATCGAAATAGTAGCTATTGCACCGGTTATGACCTAACCTGCAGACGTCTTTCTATGATGCAAGTTGGATCTTGCTCTGGAATCAAAGCGGCTTTGCTTTGCATTAACTGATTCCGTGTTGAACTATTTAAATAAGAAATACCTTATATAGAAACAACTTATATAAATCTTTTAAATTTGAACCATACTGGTTTCGTGAAATAAAGGTATATTGGAGTTAAATGTCTGTAAACCTGGTTTGAAATTTCAGAAGCTTATTAATTATCATGCTTGATTTATCGTTCATTATTCATCATTGCTTGCTGTAGACGTTGGCAAACCTAAGTCTGTTTGTAGTACAGCGGTCTCAATCCAGAATAAATCAAGATACGGAAAGA